CCAGTTGTGGACTGATCGAATCAAATTTTGAAGTTGACGCGTGGTAAATTAAAATAATCCGTCTTTAAGGGCTTTTTTCAACAGTGGCAAATTTTCAAGATTAGGAAGAGGCATTTTTCAATGGTAATCACGGAATATTTTCTACCCCGAAACTGCCCAGTGTTCCAGGTTTCATGTGGCCAGGTCTACCCCGAATGGTTTCTCCATCTAAAACATTTTCTTCTGCATTTTTCTTTCAGCTGGAAGAGGAGCCATGGAGCGAGAAGCCAGTTTAGACCACGGGGAATATATTCTGAGCGAAAATGCCGACGTTTTGCGATCCCCTGGCGAAGAAACGGAGATGAATGGAAACCATTCACCTAGTCCTCCGCCGCCACCGCCGCCTATTATGGACGAAGAAGGCAACGACACTTCGATAACCGGGCTCGTGGACCGCGTGTTGTCTCCTCTGACGAACCATGCGCAGGAAACTCGGAACAGTATCATCAACAACGATGAACACCGATCCCGAGCCGGCAGTTGGCAAAACAACGTTGTCAGGGCGAATGGAAATGTGGGATACGGAGAGTTGAACGGCGATCTGGAAGTGCCCGACCATCAAGAAGGACGAAAAAAGGTTTTTTCTTTAGCTCACCGAGTTCGGATTTTATTGAAGCTTTATTTTCTGCAGTTTTTGACAATTTTTGTTTGCACTCTCCAGAGAATGACGAGCAAAACGTACTTCATCGTCAAAGAACTTCTCATGACGGAAAGAACATACAGAAAGGACTTGGAGGTTATAGAAGTGGTGAGCGATAATTTTCTTTCACTTTTTTCAGTGCCTGTGATACAATTTGTGCTGGTGGCCTAAATTAAGAAGATTCTAATCGTAATCATCATTATAATGAGCTCTTCGAGTTTTCATCACCTGGAAATTAAAAACCTGATTAAGCCAAATTAATTATATAAAAAGTCTTTTCCTACTTTTAGTTGAAGATTTCACCATCCCTCTTGACATTTTTTTAATTGTTCCGCCTCTTCATCCAAGAACACAAAACCGAAAATCTGACTAGGTTCTGCGTAAGTCGCAAGTTATTTCTACCCTTCTTGACACGCCTCAGCTATAACATCTGATGATCTGAGTGACGTTAGAAGATGGCTCCGTGGAACCGTGAAGAGGCTTTTCTTGTTCAATCGTGAATGTGGTTTCTTGAAACATTTAGTCTTTACTTCATGTAGAATAGCTTTATTTTTTCCGGTCTCTGATGTTTAGTTCTGGTATCTCTTTTTGTCAGTGGTTGAGAGATGAACTGATGTCGAACGACGACGAAACGCTGGATGACGGGATACCGCGACACGTGTTGGATAGCCTCTTCGAAATCCACGAGCCCATCTTCGA